AGAAAGCTCTACGGCAGCTAAGACCCGAACATGAATTCCTCCTTGAAGGGGAATGAGACGATTAGGCACCGATCGCTCTTAGTTGTCAACCCACAATCCTGTGACCGCAACATTGAATCTACGTAATTGCACTGTGGTCACCTGGATCAACTGTTACATCAAGTTTATCCCATTACGTCCCATGAGGTCTCCGAGAACACAAAGCAAACGTATGTCAGACTACAGATTTTAAATGCTTAAAATTTAATGATTATATTAATTTATTTAATGATTCCTTTTCTGACTGGGAGGATTAATTAACTCAGTGCGGTCGCGAGTTCGACAGTATATATCAAGAGATGTCTGTTTCTGTACTGTTTCCGAGTTTTTCATAATTTACATATTAATGAACTGCCATTTCTAATTGAGTGCAATACTAAACATTTGTCAAATTAAAGACCAAAAATGATGTAAAAACGATTTATTCATACACAACGCATGCAAATAAGATCAGGTGATTGACCAATGCCGACGTTTCGGTTCATCAAGAGCCCTCTTCGTAATCATCCAGGTGATTTCCGCAGTTGGTTGTGTAGTCCGCAGCTGCTGCAACATCTGGAGCCGAAGATTTGCTTTTAGCCAATGCTGCTGGTTGACTAGTTAAAGCAGCGACCGACGAATCACTGCCGAAATGAGACTATGCAAAAAACAGCATGATCCCAAAGAGAACAGTGAGTCGCAATCGGTCACATTAAAGTAAACGGTTAGAACGAAAGGAAATCATAAAGAAATTAATACCGTAAATCATTCTAAAAAGCACCAGATATCATTAGTCTGGGTACTCTGCCCTTAATCTTGATACCCCAGATGACGATGAAAACAACAACCATACCGTAATCGACGTGCGTATCGTGGCTACCAAGGTTTCCTCTGTTTTCCTCTTTATATTTTGATGGACCATAAAATAAAATGTCTGCCTGAGGCCTGTAGTGGTGCCATCCCATCAAAACATAGTACGGGAGGTCAGAATAGGCCCAAATCTAAGTCCATACAATTTTACTTTTCTTAGGCCTAACCTAAATGTATTTGGAATGCATGGCGCATATACTTTGTTGACACTCCTCAAACAAGCTCGTTTAGTTCGCTGAGTAAAGACGACGGTTAGCGGCTAGTGGCGATATATTTTAAACGATGATTCGTTGTTTACATCACTCCACTCCACAATGGCATTATCGCCAGAATTATGCGCGTTATCATCATTTTCGTCGTGATAAAAAGCCCCCCCCCACTCGTGTTCAAGGGCTGCAGCGTGACATCTTGGCACATTGCAGAATGCGGAGTCGCATATTGTTAAACAATTTTTGCTGCTTCTCTACACAACTGCAGGTTTGCATAAAGGACATTTTTTCATGTTCAGCATCTGGCCAATGAGTTTCATGATTGACTTTCCGTAAGAGATTGACACGGGTCTCCTGACACGACGCCCTTGCTCATATTTAGGTCGAATCTTAAGACTCCTCTCCTTTAGAACGAACGTAGATTCCATGATCCGAACAACTACAACAAAATAAGCGGAACTAAGCAGCCGTTTCGGGAGCGAACAATTGACCATACACACTGCATAACCTCTTCCCGCCGTATAGAAACAAACAAGTATCTTCTGAGGTGGAAAATGAATGCACCAGTTAATAGCTACTAGAGCCTTTACGCGGCTTGACATCTGATAGCTAATCCTTTTAATAAGTAGCAGATAGCCCTTAGAAAATTTGAACAGTTTACCAATATTTCTGTCTGCAAGGCTAAAGCCATTCGACGATAAGTAGTGAACTTACCTGAAACAAAATATATCGTATCGTAAATGACAGCCTGCTCATAAGTATCGGTGCTTTCCAAAAGCTCGAAGACACATCGATCAGCCAATCAATTTCAACGGCTGCTTATCCCTTCGAGTTGGGAAGCAGCTGTGTGACAGTGTCTCCGAAGTTCTTAATCCTGCAACTGCGCCTGAGCATCAGGCAAAAATAACCCAAGTCTGGAGCAGAACTCGTTCAGGTACAGATCATTCGATTGCCCAGGTCCAGATGAATTCATTTACATCAGACCTATCGTGGTCTTTGCTGGTGACTTCAGCCAAGTAGCTATAACAAGTAGTAGCTGTTTCGCAATCCTCTAACCTTACTTCAGATGGCAACGACCCCATATATTTTAAATTACCCAGCACCGAGTGCACGACTGCATCTCGCTGAAACATAAACAGTAATGTATGGCAGACGATCGTTGAACACTCTGCAATCATCCATCAGATGAGGATGGTTTGAGGAATGATTTATGAATTTTTCAATATCAATATTGATCTAAAAATGGCCATAAGTGGCGCTGCTAAATAATGATTTTAAAAATTAAGATTTAAATTTGATTGAAATAGGCAAAAGGCTAAACAAATTCGGAGGGACGAAAGCGTAAGTTCAGCAGATAGCCATTTTCAATTAAAAGCTACAGTGCAAACAACTCCTGTAACTAAAACGCCAGACTGGCGAAACAAATATAATAGAAAAATAGAGTTGATAAATTAAAGTGACTGGCCAGTTAAATTGGTGCATTGTGAACCCCTTGGATCACTCTCTGGACGAAACGTGAAACGTAGGAAATTTCAACGTTTCTTTTGATCACATGCCAAGCTGTTTGGGGACTGCCCACTAAAGAAGCACTGCAAATCTAATTATTCACGATTGTTCAAATCCACTTCTCTTTTGAAATAGTGACAAGGGCACAGTGGACCATTAGCACATGCCTCAGCTGTCTCCCTCCCCAAGTAACTACCATGGAATTGTTGCTCTGTAATATGAACAGTTGGTTCAATAATTACTAATTAAATTGGTACGCAATAGCACTAAAGATACACGCCTATAAATTATGAAATGACCAGTTCCCGAGGCACCATTCGAAACCAATTTTTTTAAAATTGGTAGTTCTGCAAAACGTTGATCTGCGGTAAAACTCTTCCCATTCAAAATTCATCATTATTCAAGAGAATATTTCATTAACTAATTCACTGAGTTCTTCATTCATCTATTTATTTATTCCTTTGTTGAATGATTCTTTGAATCGTTGATTCATTCTGGTGAAACCACTGAATCTCATCGCCATGTGAGCAATTTAATGATATTTATCATCCAACGAGATAGGAGCGGTACGTCGTCGCTGATCAGTAAACCTAAATCTGTCATTAGCCTATAACAATATCTCTGCTTTTCACTAAGGTTTGCTGTCTCATAACCACTTTTGGGCTATTGCAGCTGAACCTCAAATCCGCAAATTCCAACCTCCTGCGTTTCATGGCTGTTTCGGTAATAGATGGATGGCATTCTTCATGTTTTGTCAGCTACTATGTTTGCTGCCATTGACATAGCGGGGTGCGTTGATCCCAGACTAGAAATCCTTGATGTGAATGCACACCGGATTGCTTTGCTTCGGCGCCAAACTTCAGCCTTCTGATAGCACTACTTGTGCAACTTTTTTCCGTATTTCTTCCATACTCCCTCCGTTAACCGTTATTCGTGGTTTATACAGGGCGCCCAATTGCATGTGCCAGGTAGCTAACAAGAAAAGAGAACCATGTAATAAAGCGTAATACCTGGTTCTGGAAGAGTGATACGCTATTTTGCTTAATTTTTAGAACTACCTCTTTGAAAAAAATCTGTGCCGCTGTGAAACGAAATCCAGATTAATAATGTAAAACGATTTTCGACAAGTCAACAGCATGATGGTAAATAACTGTCTGCAGTCAAGCAAAGTAAATATCACTGGCTTAAAAGCAATGTAACAGACAGCAATATTTGAGAAATCGAAAGCACCAGAAATCATCTGCTGTTTAGCGCCTCGCCCACGCCAAGAAATTAAAGAGGACAGAAAATTTTAGCACTGATTTCTAGAAGGTAGCACAGGTACTTTCTAGACTCTGCTGAGTTCTTATCATCAGAAAATGCCGTCCTCCGCAGCAAACAGAACTTTTCCATACAACCAATGGTCAGTCATCACGTATATCAAGCGAAGCTTTGTATCAGCCGATCGCCCGTCAGAATGCTGGTTGTTGCGACAATAAACTCAACGCCTAAAATTGCAAACAGTAGACTTTCTTAGTGTAAAACTCTACTTTTACAGTACCTTCAGAATGAGCAGCGACGAACCGCAGAGCGGAAATTTCGGCCAACGTTGCACCACCTACGAACAAAACAAGAACCGTTCGTTTTATGGAACGATCAGCATTAAACGACGAATCGAACGGAATTTCTAAAATGCGCGCAGCTTAAACGCTGGGAACAAGGAAAGTAAAGATCTTACAATTATAGCATATTACCATAGCCCTTTACAGAAATAAACGATATATTAACATAGCTATGACTTTAGCTTTGAATGTCGACTAGAACCCTACTCGTGAATGTCTAACTGCGACCCCTACGCTGGGGAAAACACCAGCATTGTGGAGAACGGAAGTTATTGCACTCGCATTCAAGAAGGGAGACAGCAAGGACTGCTCCAATTATAGCAGCCTTACGTCATTGAGCGTCCCGGGTAAAATCCACCCAAAGGTGCCAGAAAGGAGGTGCCGCGAAATAGTTGACCTCAAGATCGAAGAAGAGCAGTGTGGCTTCCGGCCCGGTCGAAACATCTCTGACCATATATTTCCTCTGCGCCAGATTGCTGAGAAATCGTGGGATACGCCCGTCCGGTGTACATGTGTTATGTGGACCTAGAAAAAGCCTACGACCGGATCCCACGCAATAGTCTGTGGACATGCCTTCGTGCATACTGGATTAATGGCCAGCTGCTGAGGGCCATACAGTCATTGTAATTCTGATAGCAGGTGCTGTGTCAGAGTTAATGGCGTTAAGTCGAAACCATTCAACGTTCGCACTGGTCTCCTCCAAGACTGCGTCCTGTCTCATATCCGGTTTGTGTTGTACATGGATAGAATAATCAGGAGCTGCCAAGGCGATGAGGGTATCGGTGTAGGAGATGTTAAGTCGAGAAGGCTGCTGTTTGCAGACGACCTTGTTTTATTAGCATCTTCTGAAACTGAGCTTCAGTGCTCCCTAGAAAGGTTCGCAGCCGAGTGCGACGTGACCGGCACGCGTGTGAACGCATCTAAAGCGAAGAA